ATAGGGATTTATTAAAAAGGAGTATTTTTAAAAAGCGATAAATGTAAGTTGTAATATCGACATATACTGTAATAAAAACTTACACATTTACTTTTTGTATATCAAACATTCGGTTATTGACCGATTAACTTTATTAATAGTTGATTTTTATTTTACCTTTATGTATATTCTTACTAGTTTTAATGTTTTATAATGAACGGAAATCAACATATCCAATGTTCGGGCAAACAATTACTTGTCAAGTAAAACCAATGATGAACCAAGTGCACGCCTCACACACTCACGCACACGCTCGCACACACACACGTTCAACATTTCATGTCAGATGCTGCGTTTGCATAAAATCATTAGATAACAACTCATCTATACTGGTTACTTAAATATTAAGATATCATTAGGTTTCGGCGCTTTCGAAGGATCACTTTTTTCCCAAATTCTATAATGCTTATGTAACGGTTATATGCAAAATACTGTCACCAAATGTAAATGAACAACTCACAAATCCTGTCGGTGAAAAGCTAGCTCACCATCATGAGTGGTTTGTGCTCTTAAATATGGGAAACATTCCCTTATGTCAATTCAAATACTTTGGATTTTGCATATTATATTGTTCACTATCAGTATTATGACGTTCTACCAACGTCGTTACATTACTTTCCCCTCCGAGAATCCTCGTCTCGTGACTTGGCTCGGAAATCATTGGGTACGACAACTTTAGTCCGGTAGTTGTCTTCATTCAACCGCTGCCACCAAATGTAACGTTTCAAGGCACACAAGCCCTATCGGTGAAAAGCTAGCTCACCACTAACAGTGGTTTGTGTCTTTATATGTGGGAAACATTCTCTTATGTCAATTCAATAACTTTAGTTTTTTTGCATATTATTATGCTCATCATCAGTATTTTGACGTTCTACCAACTTCGTAAAACTTTAAGATAGCCACGACGAATAAAAAATTATACTGTTAGCTGCATTTTGCATTTGATTGTGATCCGGTGAACGCTTGAGAATATTAATAAACTGTTCATGTAATTAATGAGAAAATCATCTAAAATCTTTAATAGATTCAGCCAAAGTCGATGAAACAAAGTTATCATGAACTTATCACTAATTATCCATGGCATATTTAGCATATACGTATATTCATATAAATGTTTTTTGATGTATTTATAAAATATGTATTATCTGAATTTGATAACAAAATGTTTCATGTAAATAGCATATTGATGATATGGTTCATTTGAAAGTAATTCATTTTCTAAATGCTTTGTAAACAAGTTTTTTTTGTTTCTTCGTTGTTCGTTGTTGTTTAATTGTTTTGTTTGGTTTGGTTTTGTTTGTTTGTTTGTTTTGTTTTTTTTTTTGCTTATTTTGTTATTTTTGTTTGGGTTTTTTCTTTGGTTGTATGAACTTAATTTGAAATGGTCGATTCATTGAAAAGCCGCCTGTTACAAATTCAAACTGCTAGGAATCTGTGAAACATGCTTCAATACTGATAAAACTTGGCACAAATTTTGACTGGGCAATAGCCTATGTAACAGCATGCTCAATCGTAAATTTCCTGTTACAGTGGCAACGGGGGACGATTCAAAATTGCCAAAAATCACTTTTTTGCATTTTTTGTTTTTGTTGTTTTTTCTTCATCAAAACCAATTTCAAAGTGCTGCAACTTCACAATAGATTGAGATGAGTAAAAGGTTTTTCATGCATCCCTCTCCAAACCCTCGAAACAGAAGGGCACACATCCCCCCTCTGGCAACCTCCTGATGTACCTTTTTTTGGTTGGCGCCGAAAAGTTGATCACTTTTTATTAACATTTCTCAAACGAAATACAGTGTTTGGGGTCTAAATAGAGTATATTTTTCTAGTTTTTCCGTGTTAATACGTTGCCTTTAACCTAATTTGTTTGTGAAAATATTGTTGTTTTGTAGCATTTTTTTAAAGTTTTAATATCCAAAACATGATGTAAAACCTTGGAATTACCTAAAATCTACTTTTTCCATGTTAACACATGGCCTTTCACCTAATTTTGATGAAAAAATGTTGTTTTGTAGCATTTTTAATTGTTTTAATTAACCCATTACCTCATGAGCATATTGTGAAAAACGGCCGTTTTCACTGATATGTTCTAACTGATATGTAACTATGAAACATGCTTCAATACTGATGGAACTTGTTGACTAAACAATAGCCTCTGTAACAGCATGCTCAATATTAAATTTCCTGTTACCATGGCAACGGGGGGGGGGGCGTCTCAAAATTGCCAAAAATCATTAGTTTGTATTGTTTTTGTTCTTTTGATTTTGTTTCCATCAAAACTGATTTCAAAGTACTGCAACTTCTCAATTGATTGAGATGAGTAAAAGGCTTGGTCCGCCTGGGCTCCTTGCTACTGGTTCTTGTTGCTGGGTTGTGTTGGGGTTGCGTTCATTGAACGCCGCCTTTCCTTGTTGATCTTGTTTATCATATTTTCATCGTTAGTTACTAGTTACCTTACGATCGACCTGATGCCATTTTCAGCCTGTCACATGTGCAACATTTTATTGGCGATGAGGGGGCCCCCATCAAACCCCCGCAACACAAGGGGGCACATCCCCCTTCTGGTACCCCCTGATGTACCTTTAATACCGGGCGGCGCCGAAAAGGTGATAACTTTTTTATCAACATTTCTCAAAGGAAAAACAGTGTTTGGGGCCTAAATAGAAATTTCTTTCACTGTTTGAGGCCTCAAAATGGGGGTCGAGAAGCCGTCAAAACACGTTTATATGAGGTAAAGTGTTAAAAAGATATTCCTATAAGTAAGAATTGGAAGAATTTGCTTTAACATATGATTATACATTTATGTTCATTTGACAAAAGATGATGAGACAACTTTTTTAAGATCCGAGAAAACACCCCACTAACCAAATGGCAAACAATGAACTGTTTATGATAACATATAAGATATATAAGCGACTTGAGTGGCCTATTGCTGTTCTAACCAAATTCCTGAAGTCGAACTATATTCGGTTGAATTTTTAGAAATATGTAATAATTCATTCAATGTCAAACGCCCATCTTTCTCTAAATAGGCTTTGTAATGCGAATCTAATTTTGAAACAAAAACTATATTTTGCAAATAAATTCAAACCTCAAGAAACCTTTCTATATCCTCCAGCTGAACAATGGTTCCCATTAGAATAAATCAAAGCACTGAAGGCGCTAAATTTGTTTGGGTCTCAGAATGTGAGAAACGTAAAGGTTGTGAGATTACAAACCAATATTTTTTGTGCAACCAATGCTTTCCATTGTTATAACTGTAGCAAATGGCTATACGGCTTATTGCAACACTGATATTGAATTCAATGTTTATTTGGCTTAAACAATTTAAACTAAATAAAAAAATTATTAAAATAAAATTAAAAAAATATGAGTTGCCTTGAATGGGATTTGAAATCCAAGCCTCTCGCTTCCGAAACGAGCGTGTTGCCCCTCGACCACGGGATAATTATAAGAAAACAGCCTGAAGAAAACGACATTATTCTTAATACGGGTTTGTAATCCTTATTAATTTCGAGATATTTTGTTAATGGTAAACCTGTTGTTTAACCCATTACTTCATGGGCATTTTGTGAAAAATGGCTGTTTTCATTGAAAAGTCTCCCGTTACAAGTTCAAATTGCTATAATACTATAAAAACTGCTTCAACACTAATCAAACTTGGCACAAATGTTAACTAGACCATTGCCCTTGCAACAACATACTCAGGCTTAAATTTTCTGTTACCATGGCAACAAGGGGACATCTCAAAATTGCCAAAAAATCACTATTTTGCGTTGATTTTTTCCATCAAAATTGATTTCAAAGTGCTGCAACTTCTCAATGGATTGAGATAGAGTCAAATGCTTTTCAGCGTTGGTTACACGTTACCTTATGATCAATCTAGGGTCATTTATAACCTCGCACAAGTCCAAAATTTTCTTGGCGATGAGGGGGACTCTGCCCCCCTTCAAACCCCCCAAACAGAAAGGGGCACATCCCCCTTCCGGCGAACCCCTGATGTATCTTTTAGTTGGGGGCAGCGCCAAAAAAGAGGTCACTTTTTTAACAACATTTCTCAAACAAAAACAAGTGTTTGGGGCCTAAATAAGGCATTTTTTCACCATTTGAGACAACATAAAGGGGTGTGTGAAAAAAGCGTTAGAAGGCGTGTATATAACGTAATGGGTTAACACTGATGTAAATTATCATAGAGCTAAAGAATTACACAATATTAGAAATCTTCGACCAATCGGGAACTAATTTTTCCCCGAGAAGGCTTGGAAATTAATGTGCCTGTCATTTGTCAATCATGATCTCCCTTTAATTTTTCGGCGAAAGTGTACTTTTAAGGAAAATAACCACTTCGAGGAATTCGGACTACTTGCGGTTTTGCAAATAAGCATATAAGGGTCTGAAATTTCGCTACCATTATTTGTTGGTATTGACGACTTAAACAAATAAGAAACGGATCTTACAGTAGAGAAAGCATGTTTATACCCATTAATAAAATCGTAACTGCATATAATAGAACGTTCAGTATTGATATTTTGCTCTTTTTTATGTGTCATTTGCATGAATTTTTTGTTTCATGATAATAATTTTAGATACACTTTAATACGCAATATATTCTAGATTGACCAATAATAGTTTCGAGAATTTCGGGAGCGTTGCTCTTCCTTACTTTCACTCAACCACATTTATCTTTAGCTGGCCTAACTGCAAAATGATCTTTTTTATTAAATAACTAGAAAAGAAACACTTAATATTTATTACTATTTTAAAATTTCATTTCTTTTTTTCTTATTGTTTATAATTACATAATGATACATATTTCATTGGAAACAAAATTAAATAAAATCATTGTGATAGCGAACAAACAAACAAGCAAACAAACAAAAAGCAACCTTTGCAACGAAAAATAATATATGCTTTATTTCTTCCAAGCATAACTGTTGCAACTATACATTTTTCTTTTATAAGATGTGGCAATGACAGAGGTTTGACAAAGCAGGTGGAAATGGCAACCGGTGGGCTGACACCGACAGCGAAAAACCGAATTTACCTTTTCCGGTTGCAAATACTTATTATAGACGGAGGCCTCCTGGTTTTGAGAAACATACTAGACCAGTCCCTGACTGCCAAAGGCATAACTCTAAGTGTATGTTTGAATCAAGAAATGTCGACAATCACAAAATTGAAAAGCCGTGGCGTTATAACACAGGTACAATATGATCAGTTGTTTCCAACAGTCGGCCAAGTTCCAACTACATCGACTATGGACATAACGCTCATTATTTGTCTTCTAAGATACCTGAAGTTTTTTGGATTGAACAAGAAATTTGACTGGAAGGCAATGCCTTTATCAACCGATGTAACAGTTGAGGCAGATATATGTCGGTTAAAAGCTTTCCGAAATAGGGTAAGTAAGCGATGAAAAATTCAACATACTTATAAAAAAATTTATATGACAATGTGACAATAATGCCAAGACCAACATTTTTTTTCAGGAATACAAGTAGAATTTTGTTTTCAAAGAACGTCGTGATTGAATAGATCTCATAAGGATAAAGTGTGCATTTCAGACCTACTGTAGAAGTGAATCGTTGCATTGTATACAGCTTATGACGAACATAGCCATATCGTATTACCGGCGCCATTAATGATAGATAAATGTAGTGATGACAGAAATAAAAAAAATACTGATTACTTCATGTCAATTATAAATTTGGTTGGTCTATTTATTATACACAAACAATGCAATTTCGTTAATAACTGTCCATTATCACATTATATGTTGACAAAATATTACAAATGATGGTTAAACGTCTCAACTGAATATACAAATTTATGATAGAGTGATTTTCTGTCTGAAATTGTTAGCAACTTTCAGAGCGTTTCTGCCATCATCGACAGACTTGATAAAACATGTCTGCTTACAACAGCAGCATTTTCTCATTGACCGAGCTAATTTAGACGCCTGTAAAACACAGGCACACACACTCACACGCACACGCGTACGCGCACGTACATACACACATAATATTAATAATAAGGAGAGAAAAAAGCTTACAGGGTTGTTATTATGAATTTGTGACCGTAAGTGGTTAATGTTGATGTATATTGCACGAAAACCCTTCATTTATACCAAACCTGAGATATTTCATTGTAAACTTTCGAAAAAAAATAAAGTCACAATAATTTGCACGGACTTTTACAAAGTTATCCTTTTAACCCTGTCAAAACATTATATTAAAAGCTTTTACTTAGTCAATGGTTATTGAATTGTCCTCATTGCGTAATATAAATATATCCACCGAATTTATAACCAGTAGTAATTTTACAGTTCTGCAAACAATAAAGAAATTTGTCATCCGTTCCGTTGCAACGGTTAAAGCTTATGCATATACATTGCACGTTCACTGAGTTTACCGCATATGTCTTACCATTGCCTTAGTACTATCGTAAGCTGAATTAGTCAAGGTACCGCATGATAATGTATATGGCTCAGATTAACAAATAAGCCGTGATAAGAATTTAGAGAAGACATAAAGTTATTTTGTACATCAGACATGTACATCCATATTATCTACGTCATATAAACTGAGACTATGATGTTTTGTCTTTTTTTCTTTAATTTTCCGAGTAATTTATTGTGCAGGAGTCTTTACTTGAATCTCTTTCCAGTGACGGATTACTACAAGTTGAAAGAGTTGTTTAGCCAATTTGTATAAATAAAACACAGTGTGAGAATAACTCGGCAATATACCACTTACACTATTTGTGTCTATTTTACTTTTAATAATTATGAATCATGTACTTGTATTAATTCTACACAGGACAAGTAAAACAATTTGTTTTTCAAACATAATGTGCAAATCTGAAGAATGATTATTGTATCAGTTATGAATATGTTTTAAAAGACTATATAAAAATATGGTCCGAGACAACGGCCATGACAACGGCTTCAGAAACTGCACTTAAGGGGAGCAGTGGCCTAGTGGTTAGGGCGTCGGCCTCTTAACCCAGAGATCATAGGAGCGAGCCCTGAGTATGTTCCTATTATGTTTGTTTATATGGCAACCAGCCAGAAAGCGGACTCAAAATTGGCAACTGTATGTTGCAAGAGCGTGTTTTGCAATCAAGCTTCAACAAATAGGTTTAAACAAAATATTTTGCGTCGACTGCACAAATATCTACGCTGCTGACTTCGACAACGTTTATGACTTTTACGTTTTAAACGAATAAAATTCTACGACGACGGCAAACTCGAAAACGGGTATTTCTTACTTTTGTATTGCTACTATAGCGTAACAACTCACAGAATGAGTACTAATGTTACGACTTATTGACTACAAGTACAGTTACAACTACGACTTTTACGACTACAATTTCTATGAATTAATTGGTATTACTACGACTTCCACGATCAATACAGTGTCTTTTGGAATAACAAATACGTTGACAATTACGATTTCTATGACTTTTTCAACTTCGGCCGACTTCGGCTTCCAAAAAATATACAACGACTACGACCATGACAATGTATTTGTAATAACGAGTCGACTTTTGATACTTATTATTTTATTTATTTGCACTATGTGTGAGCTATATACGTTAAGACATGCGTTTGGAACGGGGATGAATGAATATAATCAACATGTACAGCAAAATAAGCTAAGACAAGCAGATCACCATTATACCATCGGATACAGCTAACGCGTAAAATTTGTGTCATAAGTTATATACTTTTAAACGATGCCTTCACAAGATAATCAAAGTGTGTTTGTATGATTGTACTCTAAGCTATAGTTATTTGAATTTCATTTCAGATAAGCCATATATCAAAAACAACTATTATTACAAATCCAAATGACTTTGAAACTTGGTGGAATGACATAGAATAGGTGAGCAGAATGGTTGTTGAAAGTTGTTTAATTATTCGGAATTATACGCAATTCACATCAGCTTAAAATTTTCACAGGGAACGTTATAATTAAATCATATTTGATCATTTGACGCTTAATCAGTGTGGATATTTAAAAAGACATGATGGAAAGGGACGATTACTTAAACGATGAAAAATGATGGAAAAGATGGCAGTGACTACTTAATATTTTATATCATCTGACCATGAATGTAATTGTTTCTTTTTAGGACATTTTTATTTGTAAATAACACTTTTTGAAGTAAAAATAAACAATATGTTTATCAATTATTTATTTTCTTCATTCATATTCTATTTTAAATGAAAAAAGCGCCAACAATGAATAATTTTAATTGAATAATAATTCCTTGAACCAACCAGTACTGGTGTCATATGAAGAAACATGGTTGTGACCCCAGTAGGGCTCAAACCCATGATCTCTTGGTTGAGAGGTAGACACCTTAACAACTAGGCCACCGCTCCCTTTACACTGAAATTTGATAATGCATACAGAAACAAATCCAGTTTGATATTTTCTGCTTAATTCTCTTCTCAGATACTTGTTCGACGAAGTTCTTCAGCTCTTAAAATTCAGCAAACCATTAATGATTTCAAAATCTGCTCTCTCGACCCAGAGGAAGAGAAAAGGGTACAAGAAGAAATAAACAAGAGCTGTCCGTAAGACAGCGCGCTCGACTTTTTTATTGCTTGCCAATAAAAAAAGTTTTTGCAGTAAAAGGCAATACAAGAATCTCTGTATTTTTAAAGTGAACAATGGCCATGAGCATTAAGATATTTAGTGAAGAATTATTTTACTGAATTGTGTGATACCCTTACAGCAATGTTTATATGACATAATTTATGGTAAAGTGAACAAGTGGATAGGAATGAATTTTTTTAGATTTTTTAAGTTTTTTAGTGCTTGCCTATAATACAAAACATTGACAGTTAAGGGCCATAATTCAAATAAAATCTTTGACAGAATTACCTTCTCCTGGACATGTTTGGGAATCATGATTGTAAACAAGTATTCCAACTTTCAAATTAATATCTCAAACAGTTCAGTCAAAAAGTGGACTGGTACTAAAAACTTAACCAAGATTCTAAGTCGATAAAAGGCCTTAATTTTTAAAACAAATCCTTGACAGAGTTACCTTCTCTTGCGTACAGATGGGGGTAATGATGTGAAATAGCATTAAAAGTTTCAAAGCAATATCTCAAAGGGTTAAGGCAATAAGTGGATTTTACCCATATTCAATGTATTTTCTAAGTCAAAAAGGGGCATAATTCTGTCAAAAACCTTGACAGAGTTATGTCCTCTTGTCTGTTGATGAAGGTCGTGATGGTAAACAAGTATGGTCAGTTTCAAAGCAATACCTCCAATGGTTTTGAAATAAAGTGAGGTGGTACAAAAAACTTAACCAAGCTCAATACACTTTCTAAGTCAAAAAAGGGCCATAATTCTGTCAAAAACCTTGACAGAGTTATGTACTCTTGTCTGTAGATGGAGGTTATGATGGTGAACAAGTATGGTAAGTTTCAAAGCCATACTTGTAATACTTCTGAAATTTTACCCATATTCAATGTATTTTCTAAGTCAAAAAGGGGCATTATTCTGTCAAAAACCTTGACAGAGTTATGTCCTCTTGTCTGTTGATGAAGGTCGTGATGGTTAACAAGTATGGTCAGTTTCAAAGCAATACCTCCAATGGTTTTGAAATAAAGTGAGGTGGTACAAAAAACTTAACCAAGCTCAATACACTTTCTAAGTCAAAAAAGGGCCATAATTCTGTCAAAAACCTTGACAGAGTTATGTACTCTTGTCTGTAGATGGAGGTTATGATGGTGAACAAGTATGGTAAGTTTCAAAGCCATACTTGTAATACTTCTGAAATAAAGTGGGGTGGTACGAAAAACTTAACCAAGGTGTGACGCCAACGCCGACGCCGACGCCGACGCCGACGCCGGGGCGAGTAGGATAGCTCCCCTTTTCATAGAAAAGTCGAGCTAAAAAGTGGAAGGACTATGAAGCCGATGTTGATCAATTGAAAGAAGACATGACATATGTAAAAGAAAGGGTAACTAAATTGGAGAAAAACCAAGAGGATATCAACAGACAACTTGGTGAAGGTCGATTGGGGGAAGACATGACATATGTAAAAGAACGGTTTATTAATGTGGAGAAAACGCAAGAAGAGATCTAACGACAACTTGATGAAGGTCTGTTGTTTGATGCTTTTTATTTGTATATCAGAATTAAAATTAATTAAACACCGTTACAATTTGTTGACGATAATGCTTAGAAAACATAGTTCAATGAATTACAGACTTGCGTAGTGAAATGAAATATCATACTTTTCAAAACAGAGTGATGCAAAATTATGCCCATGAATTAAGAAGGAAAATACCCAAGGATAATAGCAAGTTACACACTGTACTTGATTATGTCTCTATATAAGTTATTTGGCAATGCGAAATAATAGAGTTTTAAGAGCTACTGGTTAAATAACTCATTACATTTACCTTACATATAATCGATTATTCATGACGTATATGGAATAAACAAATACAAAATTATTTTCTTCAATACATGATCAACCGCCTCCGTGGTCAAGGGGTTAGAGTCGATCACTTCTAATCCAGTTACCTCTCTGGCGTGGGCTCGATCCCCGAGAGATGCTTTAGTAGTCTAGCGCGGAGGAAGGTAGTCTAGTATTGGTGTAACAAACAAACAATACATGATCAAAGTTAGTTTACGGAAAATCAAGCGAATGATCGTCCACCACTATCGCTAACTACTAACTGGTTTTAAACACCCAGAACTAAAATATTATGTATCATCTATCAGACCATAAAATTTAATAATCGTAAATATGTTTCAATACAATGCATTAATATGAAGAATGCTGTGCTTTTTAAAGTTTTTTTTAAAGTTTTTGAATTTCTTAATATAAAAGTTACTTTCAGACGAATAGAAGAAATGTAATATTATTAACAAGAATCAGGACCTATTCTGATAATATATGTATCTATTTGATTATAGAGAAAAAAATAAAAGAAGGTGTCTCTTATATGCAAACAGAGGAGGAAAACTATCAAAAACGCAAGAAGGGTTAGTAAATATTGCTGCATTTCTTTGTCAAGCAAGAATGGTTTGTAAATATTGATATACTTCTTTATCACGGGAGTGAATGTAAATTATTATGCATTTTTAAAAGAGAATGGTAAGTAAATAGTGCTGCACTTTGGATCAAAAATCGAGGGGTGTTCAAAAATGAATGCAAATTGGTCAATTTTCAGACGTGCTTAATAAACAGTGCCAAAACAATTATCTCAATCCTTCAAAAAAGGTGTAGTCTTTTAATTCAATTTTCAAATAGGTTTTGATAATCTTTTCGAGGTATTCTATTCAGACTCTTTAAAATAGCAGAACTGAGATTTTTTCGCGTTTGATATTTTCTTCCAGCAAGGTGTTCTTTGAGCCTCGGAAATTAAAAAAAGTCACAAAGGGGCAAGATCTTGTAAAAAAGGAGGGTAGGGAGCAAGGCAACAATTTCCTGTTTCAAAGATTCTCGTACAATGGCCGCTTTGCGTGACAAAGCAATGTCATGCAACAACCTCACACAACGGAGACCAGTTGCTGGTCGACGATTTTTGCCTTTGTAAAACTTGTAATTTACAGATTTTCATTTTGGTACGGCAATTTGAATAGCAGGACATTGATTAGTAAAGAGAATTACATACATGACCTTTTTGACGTTCATGGTGCGTTTGGCTATGCTAGGTTTTTAACTTTCTTTGGATGACCATATTTTGCTATGTATATTTCGCTTGGGCTCATAAAAGTGAATTCACGTCTCATCGCCAGTGATGATATTTGCGAAAGATCGATTGTTGTTTTTAAGGAACTGTTTCAACAAACGAAGTTGCAGTTTTCTGACGACGTGCATGAGGTGCATCTTTTACTGAATCCACACCACTTTTAAATTGCTTACACATCCGTGTGGCAGATGTAAATTTTCATTGTTCCCATAAACACGACATATTTTAATTTAATATATATTTTGCCTGTATACCAAGAATACAGCACTTCTTGATATAGGACCGTATCTGGTCAGTGAAAGGAGACCTTTGTCCAACCATTTTACCTTTAGTATACACAAGTAGACAGCGTTATTCGAGATATTGTCAAAGCTAGACTTAACTCATTAACACGTGTTTTGTATCACGTGTTTTTGTATCAATTGAGAGCGTACACAACCATCATCTATTACAGATTAATGTCAATTCCAGCCTAGCTAGAAATGAAACAATGAACAAGAACAAAGTAAAATAGCCTTGATAAGTTTAAAAAAAAACATTATTTTACATGAATTTATTACTTAAAGAACCTTTTAGGTTTTTTCTTTTTTTCAAAATGCCCTACGAAAGATCCAATGTGGCGATTATGCTCAATTTTAAGCATACATATTCGGAAGAAAATAGTTAAAGTCAGAATGTTAAAATAATACAACAAAGCAAGAAACAATATCGTTAAAATGTATAAGTGGACGTATAAGCCTGACAGTCGACGATGAAGAATCCATAAAAAGATATTTATATATGCAAAGAAAATAATAGTGCTGTGATAAAGACCATGCAACTTTGGAATTACATGTATATTCATTATTCAATCATTATTTATCACTGTTTTTCATTCACAAATCATCGTCTATTATTCAGTTCATCATACACCAATCAACAGATCAACTTCAAGTTCGACTCGTACACAACAACTTTAACTTGAATTGAACTTTCTTATTTAATAAAACACTGCTCGGAAAAATTCTGCGAAAGAGTACGCAGTGCTCATGCGAAAATTAGTTGTCGCCGCTGCCAGGCTTTTATTTATTCAGTCAATTGGATATACGTTTGTAGTATTTGTCTAAAATGTTTCAATAGCTCCTTGAATTGCGTTTAAAGTAAATTGTTTCCAATATATGACAGATAGACCATCATCAGAAAATAGTGCAGTCATTGTATCTTTAAATCTTGATGTTTTATGCACTTATGACCAAGCTAAGTTCGAAGAAATATCAGTGCTCTATTTCTTCTGATTTGCATCCATATCTTCCTTATTTTCTGACAAAACGAGGTGATATACAAGACCAAACAATGCAAGGCCTGTGGGCAAAATTATCATTATCTGAGAAATAACTTCTTTAAAGTAATGTCTAAAAATACCACATGATTGTAGATTGATATCATTTCCCCCGAAATGTAAACCAAAGGTGAGACCAATGAGACCAAGGTGACGTCCCATTTGCCTCGTTTGAGCATGTGTCTCTGCTCCTTTCTTAATGACTGAACACCCTACGATCCAACTTTTTTGACTATGCTGGTCAACATTATCTAGAAATATAATATTTATGGAATGATCTTATCTTACTTAATGTATCTAATTTAAGGTTTGGATTTCGACGACCACCTACTTGCATGATAATATCGCCAAAGATATTTAATTAAGTAGCCGCGATTGCTGCGCCAGTACGAAATGAATGACTTTTATATTTGAGTCAATATGAAGAAAAAAATAAAAAAAAATATTTATTCAATATTTAGGAAATTGAGGGGCATAAAACGAAACTGATATTTAAATGCACAAACAAAAGATGTTATATACGATATGGATTCATAGTTTGAATATGCAACTTTCTGCAAAGCCCTCGATAGGCCTAGAAGCATCTGTAAGTTATTGAAACACGCACATTTTTTTGATCGGATGCATCGCATTCCACGTAACATATTTTTTAACTATAAATGAATGTGAATTATCCGGCATATCATTCAACTTTAAGAAAATGAAATATCGGATGAATAGGAGTTAACTGTAACAAAATCCAACTTTTTGAGTGAGAGATAACCTATAATGTTAACCACCGATGAAGGGCACACGCCCGGTAGTTCATGCAAACAGCGAAAGTTCTTTAAGGCATTTATAGCCTGGGTTATAAATTTCTTTTTTTCCGAAACCGAGGAATTAAGTAAAACTACTATTTCATCAGCATGTCTGTCATTAAATGCTGTGGAATTAGTGTTGGGTGCCTTCCGCTTCCGGTGCTATCATTTGGAACATCTTCCACTGCATTCGGGAAATTGAATCAACAATTTTATTATTTACACCACTGATATGTACAGCATTTATTTGGAAATCAAATTTCAGAGACCATAACATTATTTGCTGAACAAGTGTTATTACTCTTTCAGATTTTGAATAAAGTATATGCACTGCTACCATATTGTCGCAACTTAATTGAATATGAATAGAACGGACATGTTTGTGCCATAAAAAATAAGCCAATGCTATTGGTATTATTTCCGAAATGGTAATATCTTTAAGAGTATTTGTATATATTGCCATTGCTATGCCCCTTGCATGAAATCCAATCTTAACGACCATCAAAAAAAATACCACAACCCCAATTTGACTGCCAAGCGCTGTCATTAAACAATTTCTGTATTCGATTTCCATTTAGTGTCCAATATTACGGAAATGCCAAAATAATTAGTAAAGAAATCGCTTATTCAAACCCATCTTAAGACCGGCTGACAAGCGATTTATGTGTTTTTTGTTGTTTTAGCTTGCGACATAGCTGAGTAAATATGGCGAATTAATGCACCTGCAGATTGCATTGCTTTTGCAAGAAATGCCAAGGAACCAGTCAATTATAGTAATTTACGTGACGTTATTTTTTGCAATAACAATGCATCTTTAATTTGATGTAATAAATTTATAACCTTGTCCCGAGATGTGTAATTTCCATTTGAACTACCTAGGTAATGTAAGCATGTCATCGGGCCGACTCTTATAACATGCAATTGGTACACCAAATTCAGCAAACATTGCTTCGAACTGTAACCTGCTCATTTTACATTTACTAGAATTCGAAACACAGATGAAAGTAAAAAAAAATCAAGATAATGATCGATATAATCGTTACTAGTAAGACGTTTTAGTTCCTAATTAAAATAAGATGAATCAAAATGAAAGTAGAACAGCCCATAGGCATGCATTTGTCAATATAGTATTGGCCATCCAACATGATTCCTAACAGGTCAAAATGTCCAGGATAGCATGGTAAAATTCTGAAAGCATTTTTTAAATCCATTTTGCCCATTAATATACCTTTACCTAGCCGTTTTATCATTTTAACAGCATTATCAAAATCAGAATTTGACCGGATCAATATTGTCATTGATACAATCGCTTGCGGGATGGGACATGTGTGTAATTAACCTAAATCCACCGGACTTCTTTGGAATTAACCTGATCGGGGAACATCTCAAATTCGATATAGGTCCTGTGGCGTAGGGGCGCGACATACGTCTAACACATATGTCATCAAACTTTGTTTTTGTTTTGCAATGTCAATATTATCAATGACTGATTTTGAATTTTTACTGTTTCTAGAAACTCTCTGACCTGCATAACCACAGTGAAACCATACTGAAAACCGTGAATTACAATTTTTGCATCATTTGTGTTTGTATACGTTTCGAGAAATGGTAAACGTTTATCAATAATTATTTGCGTTTTACCTTTGGCCCATAAATTGGGGTCGAAAGGCGGCATGAAAATATCACGGAAAAATTGGTCTAAAGTGTCCAACACCGATAGACCTTCAGAATGTATGCACATGCTTGGGCTGAAACACATTAGAACAAATTGTGCCCCTGACACACTGCTATTAAAAGTCATCGGCCTCTGAGCATTTAAGTGGCAACTAACTTACAATAAAGGTGTGCCTATACTGACAAAACACATCCATCTTTGAAATTGTTATCAAACCTGCTGAGGCATTTTTCTTTACCTTGTCACTTGTTGAAAGGCTATCGCTAGCAACCCGCATGTAAGCCATAAATGACCATCAATATTGTAGTGACCTGAAATTTGCAACTATAACTGTAACATAACTGAACTGCACTAACTCAACTCCTTACCTTAATTGACTTTAACTTGAGAAGTTATTTTTCTTCTAATCTTTAATAGTGAGGATGTGTTGACATTTACCAGTCAAAATACATATAATGAGCTATGTTTTACTAGAAATCAAAACGCCAACGCATGTATACGGGTTATGAGCCAGATTTAATCTATCCTAATTTATCCAATATGTTTCCTTGTTTATCCTCCATTTTCACGATGCGCAGCTCAATCTAACTTCTAATTGTCACTCTCACTCGTTATCTGTGATTATAAATCCATATTAATATTGTTTATAAGTTGGTTAAGTCACTCTATTGCCAAGTAACAATATTTAATTCCATGTATTTTTGTAGTTTTCTTAGAAAAATGTGCTTCGCTTCCAGATGCCACTTTGAACTGTTTCCGGTACGTTACTAGGGACGACCGGCTACAGCTTAGTTATTGACGAAATTCTGCGATCTGATTTTTGTGTATTTTCTTCATTGAAAAAGTATAACTGGTTTAAGATAATGCCATAATATTTGTAACAATTTTTTTATTATTATTTATAATTTTATTAGGTCTAAGAGTCTATGTTTAAATTTCTAACCGTTTTGGTAAATCAACCAATATTTTTTGGTCGGACCAACCATTTTTTGGCTCCAACCACAACCACTTTGGTAAACTAACAACTTCAACCACTTTATTTTGGTTGGAGTTCGTTCTGGGTATAAAAGGGTCCGGATTATTGGTTGAACAGCTCAGTCTTGACCAGAATTGCAGAGGCAAAACCCCGTTTTGTTGAGTTACAAATTTGAGCGGAGAATTTTTTTTTTATAAATGCCGTTTGCAACTTTACATTTTAAAGTATTTAAACTATTCTTGATAAATAACGATTTATTTATTCAGATTAAACACTTCTGAGCTATTTTCTAGATATTTTATCTTTATATCACGTTTTTACTAACATTGTAATGTTTGAAATAGATTATTTACCTGCTGGTTGAATTTTGTCACGGTTCACTGGTACGCTTTTTTTCTGTGTTGACTATTAAAGAAGGTACACGCGTTAGCCATTATGATACATTAAATATAGGAGATATAATTTAGAAAACGATTTTAACATAAATAGGACTTAAAACTCTTGATGATTTCTACTTCAAAATTTAGTTATTTACAATGTCATATTGAATCTGGTGTTGAATGATAAAAATACAATTGTGCTCATTTGTTGACACTCTATATTAAAAAAGTGTGACAGTCTATATATTTTTGGCAGTTTTTATATTTTATCCTTACCATTTGTGTTTATCAATTATTGTTCAGTTGTCATAAAAATAGCCAATCTTTTGAAATAAATAATAATTGTTTCCAGCTTCGCAGTAAAAAAAAAAGTAAGCTAAAATGCCACTTTAAAGCGCGGGTATAATTCAGGGCCTTTTACACTGTCTCTTTACAATTCCAAAATGCCAGCTTCACAACTTTCTTAACAAAATGCTTGTTTTATTTCGAATTTATAGTCTTCACGTTTACACCACATGTGCATATTTATTTTTAATTTGAAATTGTCATACAATTGTTCTCAGGTGAGAATATAAACAAACATGCAGAACAGAACACATAACCAAATAAATGGACATTTTTTAATTAAGTACAAATTTGATATTTGTGTAACATTTTGATATTCATATTGATAGTTATGATAGAAATTATTTGGATAATAACATAGAAGTTTAAAGTTTTACTATAATCTGTTAATATTAAGTATACAGTTCTGAGTTATTAAGTTATTAACAGTTTAAATTTTCTGGTTTTTTCAGAGCTCAAAGATGGTTTGAATGAATTCTACAAAACGAGACACAGTAAATTTTTCCTGTCGCCCATTTTCGAAGACAATGACACGCCTTTGGCTTCTCTCTACATAAGACCTGAATTTAACTCAGCAACGTCAAGAAATGACGAAAAAACACATGTCAGGTCATTATGGGAGATATTTGAAACAGGAAATCAAGCTAACCGAGAAATACATGTAATTGCTGATGCTGGTCTCGGAAAAACTGCATTTTCAAACTATCTGGCGATCACGTGGTGTCAAGCTCATTTTCCAGATGACAACATGACTCAATCTTTTGAAAAGGACGATATAGACTGTATGCAGGGATTTGATTTCTTATTTTTGGTCTTACTGCGAAATTCCAATGATTTGTGTTCTATAGATGATCTCATATTTAAAAATATTGTTTCAAATTTGGGTCTAGAAGAAAAGCCTTCAGAGGATTTTCTCCTTAAAATTTTGAAAAATGAGAAATGCCTCGTTATACTTGATGGACTAGATGAATGGACCCACCCCGAAAAGGAATGTCACAGATCGCCGAAATCAATCCCCCATAGGAATGACCGAGAAAAGTGTACAATACTGACCACTACGCGACCATGGAAATTAGGAGTTTTGAACCTAAATTCGTGTCAAATAGGAAAAAAGGTAGAACTTACAAAACTAAGTTACGACTCAGCAGTTACACTTACAGAAAGGATATTACAAAGATTGAAATCTCACCCGAATAAGGATGCATTACAACGTGATGTCACAGAGTTCATATCAGGAATTGAAAGCAGACAAAACGATGAACTTACTTCTGTGCCTCTACTTTTGATATATACAATTTGTTTATGGTGTGACGGTGTTCAAATAGGTAATTCAAAATGTGAACTCTATATAAACATAGTAGAGCTGCTCTTATCAAGAACGATTCAGAAGCATGGAGATATTCAACAATTTTGCGTCCTTTCTGATAGTGATATCCCAGAATGCCTGGCTGAATATGAAAACAGTACGAAATACTATCCACTCCTGACGTGTTTAGGTAAATTGGCCTATAATACGTTAATCAATAAAACAAGAGAAAACACACTGGTATTTGATGGATCAGTTGCTAGAAAATATATCACACCAGACGAGATGAAATTCATCCTTCACTCAGGAATGTTGTCAGAAAGTACAACAAAAACACTAACAAAAAAGTTTAGTAAAGTGTCATTTTCCCACAAAACAGTGCAAGAATTCTTTGCCGCCATATTTATAAGTTCTCAAAGTGACGCTCAGAAAACTGTTGTAGAAAAATGTAGAAATGTTCAAGATATTCTGGACATGTCAAAAATTTGTGAATTTATAAGTGGAATGAATGCTGACCGGATGTGTGAAATATCAAATGATTTGATGTCTGTGATAAATGAAGACGAGAAAACACGCGACTATAGAACTAGGACAGGTGACGAGGACTTCGTGTACAATAATCCATTGTATAACATACAGGAAATGTTCATGTCGTGTTTACAAGAAATGCCTGAAAGTGAAAATATTCAATTATGTTTACAAGATTTCTTCATTGACCACAACACCGTGGACAGTAAGCTGTTACAACGTTTATTAAAACAAAATAAAACCAACATAAAATCACTTTATATAAACATCAGATATACTTCCAGCAGTTTACGTGAAATTATAGATTTATTCTCTCTCACAGATCTCAGTCATATACAGAAACTTTACTATAATGGTGACAGCAGGAAGAAGGAGGCTGAGATAAGCCGGATTTTGTTTCCCAGTTTACAGTACGTTACTTTGTTGTATGGTACATGGATAAATGATGAAGAAAATCTGAGTGAAAATTTAGCGCGAGTACAAAACTTACAATATTTATATATTGACGACTTCACGTTATCTCACAAAATACTGGAAACATTTTACAATTTTATCTCCGCTCAAAAATCAATGAAAGAGTTAACATTGGAGTGGTTAGACTGTAAAGAACATGGCCGCCGCCATGATTGTAAGAGATGGAACTTGGACTTGTCTCAACATTCAACTCTATCAAAGTTAGACTTGCTGGTGTTACCTGGGAGGCTACAATTAAATATATCAACACCGTCATTAGTTAATGTTACGTTGTCGGGAATCAATCTAGATGAAAGTTCATTGTTACTGTCACGTGACATGTTGAATATTGAACGTGTGGAGTTGGTGTGTATAGAAATGTCTGCAGGACGTTTACAGAACTTTATTAACGTGCTGGAAAATCTGCCGCAGACAGTTACAGTAAAGATGGAAGACATTACACCGTACACAGAAAATAGACGTGTTAGAGAAATTATTCGAAGATCAAAAACTTTTTATGTGATACAAGAGAACGACTATTGGCGGGAGATTGAGTTCAAAACAATAAAACCAAAGAAAGAAAAAAACAAAGAAAAAACGTTGTAAAATAAACTGAAGAAATATCTTCAATAATTTAATATGAAAACAATTTGAAAATAAACACTTAAAAAACAAAATGGCGGTTTCCTGTGCTTTATACATGTACTGTATATAAACCACTTTTATCAAGACTTAGAATTCTAGAAATGGATGTATGTGAAAACTGGTGATTTCTACAATTAGATGGTACATTCTTCAACTAATAGTAAAGGTGATAGAAGTGCACAAACACTTGACACATCAATATTTGAAGACCAGAATAGTTCCCATTGTACGATTAAGAAGAAAACGAAAAAACAAAAAAGTAAGAAACAAAAAACAATTGATGATTCTGTTTGTTTGTTTGTTTGTTTCATTTAACAACAATGGATGAATATATGGAAAAACAAGAAATTTCTGGAAACGAAATATTAGAAAGAAGTAAGATTTGATAAATGAAAAATTATGCAATGTTATCACGAAAAGTGATATATATTTGATTAGAGGAATAGTAAAAGATACTATAAATGAACTGAAAGATTAATTTCTTAGTTCAATGGTTCAGAAAATTGAAGTAATCGAAGATAGCGTGCATGATTGCGCATTTCAAATACAAAAAAATCAATGAAAAAATGAATCAAAAAAGAAAGAAATTGATGAGTTACACGAGATAACAAACTATATACGCGACAAAATACGACATGAGGCAGAAGAATACGAAAAGATCACGAACGATATGGAGCAGTATAGTCGCAGGAACAATATAAGAGTATTCGGTGTTCCGGACGACAAAGACCGCCAAACTTCACAGCAGACAACTTCACAAGTAATTAAATAAGCATTTATATGTGTCAATTACGGAGGAAAATATTGACAATGCCGTCTTGGGAAGTTAAATGGAAAAAAACAGACCGGTTATTGTGAAATTTGTGCGCAGGCAGGTGAAAAACGACATTATGCAAAATGTTAGTAAGCTGAAATCAACCTGGCTCTATATAAGCCACGATCTTACTTGGCTCAGTCATCGCTGCGTCAGACACAGAACGAGAGAAAAAATGTTGGTGCAACGATGGTATACTCTATGGTACATTTAAATAGGAATTAAACGGAAGGTCTTTCTTACAAACAAAGGAAGCTTGATTTTCCCTGGCCTGAAAGGAAAAACAAGAAATAAACACTAAACACAAACTAAATACCTGAAAGGAGAGATCTGTGTTTTGGTGTGTTTTTAAATACATTTTGGAACAAGACTTGAAAAGTTTTTAAAAAAAACTTCCCTCTATCATAAATAACTTTGAAAAACCTCTGAATTATTTGTTTCTGTGTTAATATACCACTGCTGTTTTTTGTTTTCTAATTTATACATAGAAATATATTGATTTATATCCTTAAGGTGAACTTGTTATGCTTTCGACTGTAAGAATACCAAATTTAAGGATAACACACAGACTATTGAAATGTTTTTTCTTCTTCTTTTAATATCTTTAAGATATATTGTTTCTTTTTCGGATACCTTTTTGGGGCAAGATTCTTATTGCTAAAATAATTTTTTTTGATTCTCCATTTGTTGATTGTTTTTTATTTATTACATATACATGTATATATAACTTTATATTGCGTTTTTCTTTTGAGATTATAAAACCGAGCCTTGATAAAAAATAAACTTTAGTTTTTTCTGCAAGTTACAGTTGACATCTTCTTTAAAGTAATACAACAAACACATACCTATTTTGTTGTATCTGGGTATATATGCGTATGTGTATATATGTATATGTATATATGTGTATGTGTATATATGTATATGTATGTGTGTGTATGTATATGTATTTATATATATTTATAATACTGCACGTTTGTAACGTCAGTTTTCATTGGATAATCGTGACGTTTATATAGTTTTATATACACGGCTGCTGTCGATTCATGAAGAAATCTTACTTTTTTTCTCTAAAAATGATGCTTGCAGTATTATAAATTCGTTATAAAGATTGTTGACAGGTTATATGGCCGTATATAAACGGCTGTTTGCAATATAACCCTCGCCTAACGGCTCGGGTTATATTTACAAATATATATGCATGTATATGTATGTGTATATATATGTACTTGCGCATTCGTGTATACAATGTCTTGTTGTACATAAGGAATTTTGATATCACCTCCCTTACAAATGCAATCTAACTGTATTAAATGGTAAATGCTCTTCAAGAAATCTTAATTTTCTTATGGCTATTAAGATATCATTTATTTTTGTTATGAGTATATAAGTTAAAAAAAATTCTAACAATTACTATCTTAATTTCAAAGTGAAAATATATAGACTGCAAAATTGTCTTATTATATTGAGTATTGACGCTATTATAGCAAAAGTGTAAGAAATATACATGTTTCAGTTTTCTTAGTTGTAGTAAAATGGTTTTGGTTAAAAGAGGTTTATTGTCAAACCTTTTTGAAACATTGGTTTAAATATTTTTTGTTGTGTATTCATTTTTTGTATTGTATGTGAGACACAGTCTGCCATTATGTTAATGATGTTATTTGGGAATAATACTTATCTCTTTTACTTGTCCTGCATCAGTTCAATATGGTTGAAAGTAATATAAATGTCTTATCTCTGAATTGTAGAGGCCTGAATGGGTCTTAAAAAAGATCGTCCGTTTTCATTTTTTTAAACAAAAACAGTGTAACATTTATTGTCTTTTTACATTAAATATGTATAAAAAGATATACTTCGAATGGAAAAATGAATGTATTTTAAGCCCTGGAACATGTAACATTTCAGAAGGGTAGCAATTCTTTTTAATAATAACTTAAAACTTTAAATTTTATAGTATTAGACTTAACTATTGAAGGGCAGAAAATTACTCTAGTAAATTTATATAGCCCGAATTCTGATAATAAACCCGAATTTTTAAATGAAATATTCAGTTTAATTGACAGGATAGGGAATGATTCATATATATTATGTGATGATTACAATCTAGTTTTGGACCCAATAAAAGGGTTATTTAACTACAAAAATATTAATAACAGTAAAGCTAGAGATACGGTTTTGATTAATATTGGTCAAAGAGATATGGTTGACCCGTTTCTATCCAACTTTAAGACGATATACATGGCGTAAACGCACTCCTCTTCAGCAAACAAGACTAGAAATTCTTCTTAATAACGTCAACTTTGTTCCACTTTGTAGTAAATGTTTCCATAGCTACAAGCTACCAATCGGATCATTCCATTGTTACATTAAACTTAAAATTAGATGACTTTAAACATGGCAAGGGCCATAAAGGACACTAACTTTTTAAATACTATAAACGAAACAATTGACGAAATAAAAATGCAATATGCATTACCAGTTTATAATGTTAACAATGTTACTGAAATTCCAGGTAATGAAATTTAATTAATAATAAATGATCAATTGTTTTTAGAAACCATTTTAATGGAACTGCGAGGGAAATCTATATCATACAGTTATTATGTAAAGAAGAAAACTAATTTAAACAAAGAAAATATCTTGAAAAAAAATAAATGATTTAGAAGCCGATTTAACTGAAGATAAAATGACGCACCTTCGGGACCTTCAAACAGAGCTTCATAACTTAAATGATTCGCAATAACAGGGCTATCTTATTCGTTCTAGAGTTAAGTTTATTCTTGAAGGTGAAAAACCGTCACAATACTTTTGCAGCTTAGATAAAAAAAATACACTTCTAAAACTATTTATAAAATTCAAAAGGATGACGGAACAATTGTGAAAGAACAAACAGCAATTCTCAAAGAATTAGGAAATTATATCAGAACATATTTATGTCGATAATAAACAATGAACACATCGATTATTTTGATGATTTTATTTCAAACATAGAAGCACCGGTATTAAGTCCAACAGAATCAAATGCTTTAGAAGGTCAAATAAACTATCATGAAGCAACTTCCGTTTTATATTACATAAACAATAATAAGTGTCCAGGATCTTCGGGTTTCAGCGCAGATTTTTAGGAAAAACTAGGAGTTTGCGTTGTTAGAGCTATTAATAACGCATATGAATCTAAAGACAACAAACCAAAATTTTTTTTTTTAAAAAAACTGGAGACCAATAACTCTTTTAAATACAGTTTATAAAATTGCTTCTGGAGTCATTGCAAAAAGAATTTAAAAAAAACAAACTTTAAACAAATCAATTAGCAAAGATAGCAACGATGGTTTGATATTTTTTATCAAGACACACGGTCCGCTGTAAGTCAATGCGGATTCCTGTCAAATTTTGTAACAAAAGTCAGAGGCTGCAGACAGGAAGATCCGCTTTCTTATTACATCTTTATTTTATTTGTGAAATTATCTCTCTTACGATAAAAAATTCTAACGAAATTAAATGTTTAAAGATAAATAATCTAGAACATAAGTTATCTCAATTTGCGGATGATACAACATTAATACTGGACGAGTCAAGCAGTTCCTTAAATCAGGCACTCGAAATGTTATCAAAATTTGCTCATCTATCGAGACTAGATGTAAACTTTGATAAGACAAAAGTAATAAGAAAAAATAAATACTCATCAAATAGTATAAAAACACGATAGAAATTATCATGGAACCAACATAATTTTAAAATGCTGGGCATTACTTTTGATGTAAATTTAAAACAAATGATACATATAAACTATGAAGGTAAATTAATTAAGATTCAAAATTTAATTAATCATTGGAAAAGAAGAATTCTCACTCTTATAGGACAAATCGCAGTTATCAAAACGCTCTTAATTTCAATTTTAAACCATCGTTTTATAGCCCTACCGTCACCGCCTGAAGACATGATAAATTAACTTCATAATATGTTTTATAATTTTATATGGCAAGGAAATGTTAAAATAAAAAGTACTGTTATGGTCAAGGACAATTCAGAGGGAGGTTTAAAAATGTTAAATTTAAACGATTTTATAATGGCCATAAATAGATAACTATCCTATGAATAACGAATCTTTCGCAGAACTACCATTGTTTTATAACAATAAATTGCTGATTGGCGATAAAATTATATTTCTTTATCAGGTGTATATTATATCGGAGATATGTTTGATTCTTACGGTGCTTTTCTTTCATTAGAAGATTTTAATAACATATTCGGGCTTAATGCAAACTTTTTAATCTTTCAGGGAATTAAAAAATGATAAATGAAATTATGACAAAATTCAATTTTATTATAAATGATGTTAAAAAAACTTCAGGACCTAAATTGCCTCCTTATTTAAAAAACATAATTATAAATACTGAGGGATCAAAACAGACTTACAATTTATTAAATACTAAAAACAAACAACCAACAAGTAAAGTAACCTGGACGCAAAAGCTTGATCTACATTTTGAAGAAAGCAAATGGAAAGAAATATACGAAATGCCATTTTAAATTACTAAAGATACTAGCATACAGTGGTTTCAAATAAGGATTTTTCATAGACTAATTGGCCTTATTGGCACCAATTATTATTTACATTAAAAAATACATGTATAATGATACTCCTCTTTGTACCTTTTGTAAAAATGAAAACGAAACTATTAAACATTTGTTTTGGCAATGTAGATTGGTTAAGGACATCATTGATATCTATGTCAAAACCAAAAAGAACATTTTTCCATTATTAACTGCAGATGAATTGATTTTTGGCTTTACACATGCAAGTCCTTTATCAAAAACTATAAATCTACTTTTAATTTACTTTTAGATGTATATTCATCAATGTAAAATGCAAAATACTATTCCCTCAGCTGTAGGAGCTAAAAGTATATAACATATTTTACAACATAAGATAGAGACTGCAATTATAAATAACAACGTTGAAACCTTTATCTCAGCATGGAATTCTTTTCTAATTTTCCTTCCTTTTGTGTTTTTACTGTTATTATTATCATTAGTATTGTCGTTGTTGATGTTATTTCTCCTCATATATACAAACTCAAATTTTAACTCTATATTAACTTATGCCAAATTTTCACGTCAAACTACCCCGCTTAAAATGAGAGATAAGTAAATGCCTGAAAGAATGATTAAATATGGCCGAAAACAATATTAAAAGTGCAGGGTGCAGTTTAATTTTCTTATTATGGATATGTTCTATTCTATAGCTGTATGATACTATATTTGTTGTAACTTTATAGATCCATAATGTACATACAAATAACTTCTTATCCCCATTTACTACAATAATCACACAATAGGTTTAAATTTTTCTGCAATTCCTCTTTTGACTTTCCTAAAATTACCATATCGTCTGCAAATAGTAACAAAATTAATACAATATCATCAATGACTAAACCTGAATCTACATCATCTTGCAAAAAAAGCTCTAAATCTTCTACGAAAAGTGAGAACAAAATCGGTGACATTATCTCCCCTTGTTTCAATCCTACAGTATACTCAACATATTCCGAATAGTTATTACAATTTCTAACACATGACTTAACCTTTTGATACATGTCCCTCACTATTCTTAACAATTTACCCTGAATTCCATTCTTATAGAGCTTTAACCATAGTGCACTTCTATATATAGTATCAAAACATTTTTTCATATCAACAAATACACAATATAATCTCTTATTTTCATTTAAATACTGTTGTACAACATTAAGTAATATAAATAAAGCATCAGTCGTACATCGGCCTTTTCTAAAACCAAATTGTGCATCTGATATAAAATTATTTTGTTCACAAAATGTAACAATTCTTTTATGAATAATTTCGAAAAACAACTAACGAGCGTGATACCTCTGTAGTTATTCACGTCATTAATGTCGCCCTGTTAACAATGGTGTTACCTTTGTTAAAATTATGCCCTTAAAGATGTAAAGGAATAAATATCAACGAGGCTGAGTTCGTTCAATACTTTTAATTGAAATGTCCATTCATTGTATGATCTCAGTATATTACTATATTAATATAAAGCTTCCAGTAGATTTAACCCAAGAGGTTAAAATCACATCACATTCACAACTTCACATCAAGCACTTGTTAAAGCACCAATCAATATATAATCAGTATCAAGAAGATATCAATATGTAGATCAATATGAAGATCAAGCCCTGAAACAAACAAATATAGCAATACTAAATACATGTACATACTGAGATCATTAACACAACACAATATATACAATTTAAGTCATAGCATGATTATAACAAACATCTCACATCAAATAGCCAATATAACAGTCATTAAACCATTACATCAATTAATTACTTCTAAATTAATGACTGAACATTCCAAGTACTGTTTTTCTGTATTATATTAAATATTAAATAATTCAATCCAGTGGCCTATTAAATGAATATAGTTAACTTATAAAATAGTAAAAACAATAATATGACTTGTACAATTATACATACCAATTGTGGATTGGAACTCAATGACACTCATACAAA